TCCCCTCCCAACCGGGAGATGAGTTCAAAAAATAGAAACATAAGTATGAGTTTTATCTCTTGGAATTGTCGTGGAGCAGGGAATGCTGATTTCCGAAGAGCCTTTAGATCCATGCTTGACTACCACAAACCTAGTGTGGTTGCATTACTAGAAACAAGATTATCTGATCGCCATGTCATCATGGAGGATTTTGGATTTTCAGGTCTAGCACAGGTTGCGGCACAAGGAAACTCAGGAGGAATGGCACTAATGTGGAACAGTGATGAAGTCAATGTGGACCAAATAGGGGGAACTGATCAAGAAATCCATGCTATGGTGAAGGTAAAAATTCTCCCTAAAACTTGGTTATGCTCAATTATATATGCTAGTAGCCTATTAGAGGAAAGAATCACTCTTTGGAATAACCTAATAACAATTGCTAACAACTATAAAGGACCCTGGTTAGTACTAGGAGATTTTAATGAGGTCACTAGAGCAAGCAAGAAATTTGGAGGCCTCCCTGTAAATAACAATAGAATTTCTAAGTTTATTAATTGTCTTAATACTTGTAAATTAATAGACCTAGGTTTTAAAGGCCCAAAGTTTACCTGGTTAAATAAGAGGAAAAAGAAAAATAATGCTTTCATTATGGAGAGACTTGACAGATTCGTAGCCAACAGTGAATGGATCAGCATGTTTCCTGAAGCTTGTGTAAAACACCTTATAAGAACCCATTCTGACCACTGTCACATACACCTTGATCTTATAAAAAGACCCAGCCGTAGCAATAATATATTTCGACTGGAAACCATGTGGTTATCCCACCCCACCTTTAAGGGATTAGTAATGGAATGCTGGACAAATCAGCTTAATATATCAACTGCTATCAACAAGTTCACTAACAAAGCCACTGCCTGGAATAAGGATACTTTTGGAAATATCTTTAAAAAAAAGAACGAAATCCAAGCTAGACTAGAAGGTATTCAAAAATCTCCAAAATACACAACTAGCACCTTCTTGTCTAACCTAGAAAATGAACTACTAGAAGAATTACAAAAAATCCTCAAACTGGAGGAGGAATTCTGGAAACTGAAATCTAAAACCAGTGGATCCAAGAAGGTGATGCCAATACAAAATTTTTCCATCACACAACCCTGTAAAGAAGAAGGAAAAATAGGATTTTTAGCATTAGAGATGAGGCTGGTAATTAGTTCCACAACCCAAAGGAACTTACCCACATCATAACGGACTTCTATAAAAATCTATATACCACTAATCATACTTCCTCTCAAAAAACACTGATATACATGCCTGCCATATCCTCAATTACCCCAACTGACCACCCCCCCCACCAGAGAGCCTGATGAGGAGGAAGTAAAGAATGCCCTTTTCTTTTTTAAACCACTAAAGGCACCTGGTCCGGACGGTATCCATCCTTTTTTCTACCAAAACTTCTGGGGAATAACTAGCAACCTTCTGGTAAACTTCTGTAAAGAATCCTTCACAAGGAAAAGAATGACTGAGGACATGAAGAATCCTTCGTTTGTTTAATACCAAAGCATCAAAATGCTGAAACATTAAGGCAATATGGACCCATTAGCCTTTGTAACACTGCCTATAATGTCGTCACCAAAATTATCGTTAATAGAATAAAACCCTTGCTCAACAAAATTATCCATCCTTCTCAAACAAGTTTAATAAGAGGAAGGAGAGCCTTAGACAATGCCATAATAGTGCATGAAGTCCAGAATTTTTTCAAAAATTCCAAAGGAAAAAAAAGGGAAACACATGATCAAAATCGATTTAGAAAAGGCTTTTGACAAATTAGAATGGTCTTTCATCAGATTCTCCCTGAAACCCCTTAATTTCCCGGATGACTGAATTGAGCTAATAATGTCCTGTGTATCCTCCACATCCACCTCCATACTCATAAATGGTTCAAGCACAGAATTCTTTACTCCAACTAGAGGCATTAGGCAAGGAGACCCCCTATCCCCGTACCTATTCATAATATGCATGGAAATGCTCTTTAGACTCATTGATCATGAAGTAGACTGTTGTAGATGGGACCCAATAACCCTGTCAAAAAAGGGACCCCAACTATCTCACCTGTTCTTTGCTGACGACCTCATTCTTATGATGGAGGCCAATTAAAAAAGCTGTGACTCCCTCATAGATACTCTGAATAAATTCTGTAAGTTCTCCGGTCAATCTATCAACTTCAGCAAATCTAGAATAATTTTTTCTAAGAACACCCACCCGGACAAACAGTCCCTCTTCAGCAGATGCCTAAACATGAAAATATCAAACTCAGTAGGTAAATACCTAGGTTTCCCCATGACAAACCAGAGGCTATCCAAAAAAGACTTCCAATTCATTATTGACAATCTAAACAATAGACTAAAGGGTTGGAAAACTCACTTCCTAAACCTAGCAGGAAGAACCACCCTCATTAAAGCAACCCTTGCAGCCATCCCTAACCACAACATGCAAATTTTCAACCTACCAAGAGCTACCCAAAATAAGATAGATTCCATTCAACGAAATTTCCTATGGGGAAGTACGGAGGAAAAAAGAAAATGCCACTTGCTTAACTGGAATAAAGTCACTACTCCAAAAAGACAGGGAGGCTTAGGGCTGGTTAAAACCAATTGTAAAAATGATGCCTTCAGCACCAGTCTAGCCTGGAGATACTCTAACAACAGGGAAACCTTATGGGCCCAAGTCCTGCGCAACAAATATGATAGGAAAACCAACCATAGTATCAGACCCACTCCCAGCCCTTTGTCCTCACACATCTGGAAAAACATCTGTAAAGGAAACAAGATTTGCCAAAAAGGGAACAAAGGGATTATAGGTAATGGGGAAAGCATAAACCTTTGGAATAGCAGATGGATAAACCACGGGAACACGCTAAGGGATAGTATCCATGGGCCTCTCCAAAGAGGGGAAGAAGATATGAAGGTAAAAAACATCATTCAGGATGGTTACTTCAACCTCTCAAAATTATCCTTCGAACTACTTGAAGATATAACCCTAAAAATCCATAGCACTTATATCCAACAATCCCAGTCAGGTAGGGATAGGATCTCCTGGAACTCCCCAGGTTATAGCTCCTTCTCCATCAAGGCAGCCTATGATCTCATTACTCAACAGGATTCTCAGATTGAAGAAAACAACCTCGACTTTAAGTGGATATGGAAAAGCAACACCCTGAACAAACTAAAATACTTCAAGTGGCTGCTCACCCTCAATAGACTCCCAACAGCCGCCTTTCTAGCAAAACGTAATATCTGCACATCTGACATCTGCACCATTTGTGGAACAGAAAAGGAGGACATAAAACATATGCTCTTCTATTGTTCCCACTCAAAGGAAATCTGGAGGCAATGTCACATAAAACACAACTACCCACCTTCGGATAATGAACTCTCTATTTTCTACTGGCTAAAGCATCAACTAAACTCAAACAAGCGCTATAATCAATACATCACTTGGCCTGTCTTCTTACCCTTCCTCCTCTGGTACTTATGGACCACTAGAAATGAAAAGATTTTTCACAAAAGCAGCCCATACCCCAACATTAGCAAAGTAATTAATAGTACCCAAGAATTCCTTTTTCTAAGCAATTGGAGTCCTATCCGGACACCAAAAGGAACCATCCTTATTAAATGGCAACCACCTGACATAGGAACCTTCAAACTAAACATAGATGGATCATGCCTATGTAACCCAGGTAGGGGGGAATAGGAGGGATTTTCAGGGATAGCAATGGAAAATGGAGGATTTTCAGGGATAGCAATGGAAAATGGATACTAGGATTCAATATGGGATTTGCCTACGCTACAAATATCCAAATGGAAGCCATGTCCCTATTACAAGGCCTAAAACTAGCCATCCAGAAGAGACTAACTCCTCTAGTCATTGAAACGGACTGCCAGGAACTAATCAACCCGATAAATAATGATAATTGCCTTTATCAAAATATTATTGATGACTGCAGGTTCCTATTATCTGAGGCGGGCACGCCGCCCTTGAAGAATGCATTCAGAGAAGCTAATGGAGTAGCGGACACCTTAGCCAAGAATGGATGCAGCTTGGACTCTTTTGCTAATTTAATGTTGTATTATTATTCGCCTGTATTTGCTATTTCAGTTTTTGATAGAGATGGGATAGGCACTGCGTGGCCTAGACAAATCTCATGTTGTGATGACTACTAAATATATGTTCTAAATAAATGTCTTTATTTACCCCCAAAAAAAAAAAAACTTCGTCTACTTTCAATTCTTTTTAGATTTAGACGTTATTTTTTTGTTAGTAAATTAGCAAAACATTGGCATTCTTTGTATCTTAAAACTTTAAGTTTGTGATAATTACCTATTCTTCAATATTATTTTAGTCCAAAAAGCAATTACTATATATATAATTAAGTAACTACTCGCCTTATTAAAATCTTAAGGTGGTGCTTCTTTTAACAAAATGAAACAATTATTTTTTTAAAACCAAAATCAAATTATGAATGAGTACGTTTACAAAAATTGAAAAATTATTGATGCGAAACTTAGCGATGAATATTTTCATAATAGAAAATCGAACATTTGAAGAAAAAAAAGGAATTACATACTACCACCACCACCCCCTCCTAACAAACACAGATTTTTTCGAACAAATGCTATTTTCAAAAGATGATGTTTTTAAATTTTTTTCATTATTTGTATATTGATTGATATTTTCAATATATCGATGATTGAAAACTTCTATGTGGCAATTTTTTCCCTTAATGAGTTTGGTATATAAGAACAATATTTTCATTTTCAAAGTCTTACATTTTATTTATAATAACTCAAAAATAAATTTTAATAGAATATTTTTACGATCATCTATAATAAAATTAGTAACTTAGATAAGGTAAGACTAGTTCATAATAAAGGCTGGCCCGTGTTTTCCAAACGATTGACAGGCAAAAGAGAAATTCATAAGCTTCGACCACCTGGTACATTGCTTCTTGATTAAAAAAAAAAATCCTCAATCAAACAATTTTGGACCTCAGAAAAAAACTACATAAAAATCCCAAAATGTGTTTTCAAGAATCTACAACAGAAGATTCAGCCACAACCCCCGACTGCTATCCACCCCATCAATTTCCCAAAATTTCAACCATCAAAACAAAGGCCAAATGGTGGGAACTATATTTGGGACTGGAAGATCATTAACTGAAACTCATTCTTCTCCATGTTTATGCTTGAATCCTATTGTTAACTCAGGCAGCTTTAATTTCAAGACTAATGGGGAATTATCATTGGGATTGTGGAGAAGCTTAAAGGGGAGGAAGCAGTTGAATTTAAGCAGCAGTTTCTTGGAAGCATGGTGTGATTGGAAGTTATCTGCAAAGATGATATCTTTGGCTGTAAATGGGGTTTCAAGAAAGAGAGAGAAGATTGGAAAATTCAGTGTTGTTGGTGGGTTGGAAGTAGAGGATGATGATTCAGGCGAAGATGTTAAAAATGTGAGAGCTTTGTTGTAAATTGTTTACTTCTATTTATGTTTATTACTACTACTAGGAATTAGACCAGAATCATTCCAATGTGAATTGTGTAGTGGTCATTATGTCCTTCATTCACCGCTCAAAACATGATAGTGGATTCTCTATATTGATGAAAAATAGATTCTCTTGTCACTGACATTAATAGATTGTATAAAGAACAATGTTGAAGGTGTCTTGGTTTTCTGGTATGGTTATACATCCTAGGAAGAAATGTGAACAGATAGAAAGTAGATATAAGTGAAGTAAGGGGTATGGTCAAACTGGAAATTTACGGTTAAGCGGCAGCCCGGTACACGAAGCATTCCCCGCTCATACAGGTTCGGGGGAAGGGCCGCACCCCAAGGGGTGGATGTAGGCAGGCTACCCTCATGCAAGCATAGTGACTGATTCCATGGTTTGAACCTATGGTCTATAGGTCACATGGAGATAACTTTACCGTTGCTCCAAGGCTCCACTTCGTGAAATTTATGGTTGTATTGTGTAAATTGAAGGTTTTTACATTTGATTTTAGATTGTTGTCGGTGGGGTTTAGCGAAAATTTTGCCAAGATATACTTTATACATTGGTTTGAAGAATGTTTTGAATGATTGGGGGATAAGGTAGCTCAATCTTTTGTATGGTTAAACTGATGGAAGCTCAATAATATAAATTCATTGCTTCAATTTGTCTTATGGTTCTATTTTCAAATGGTTTTCACTACTCCTTTTGTTGCAGAGCCAATCGATCCCTCCACAGGTGCAGTTTAGCTTATAATTGCGAAAAAGTCAATCTTCTTTAAAGTAAAAGATATTAACTGGAATTATGTGAAACGTAGTTATCCTGAACTTTGACTCATTACTACAGTGCTCTCTTTGTTGATTCTATCACTTGATTTTTTGGTCATCCATTAAATTAAAACTGTTGAAACTGTTTTGTCCTCATTTTGTTGTAACTATAAGACTTCAAGGTGAACTGTGCCTTTTTGCAGTTCTTTTTTCATTTGATCATATTCAACTCCTTACGTGATTGGCGTTTGCAGGAAATAATCAATGTTATTACTTACAAAGCTGTACGGACTGTTCTTCAACAACTCTATGAGATGAACCCGCCACAGTACACATGGTTTTACAAGTAAGTTTAGATTTCTTTTCCTCTTAAGGGTATCCACTATCCAGATAAGATGAATCTTTAGTTTTAGCTCAATGATTCAAGTTAGCACTTAGGCTGTTGATGCTATAAGAACTGACAATTTAGTCCTATTTAAACAAAATTATACGAGGAGAGATAGATGCAAAGGCCAGGACTGCAGCTGAGGCAGTTGTATGCTTCTCCCGTTTTCCTTTGCTTTTCTATTTATTTATTTATAATGCATTTTATTTTTCATTTAACATTCTTCGGTTGTCTTGAAATTGTTTTCTTTTCTTTTCTTTCTTCCTTTGCCTAGATATCTGTTGATATTGATTTCAATGGAAATTTGGAAAATCTTGTCCGAGTTTGCTTTTCCACTTGAAAAGTAACGCTAAATTTCTCCTGACAACTTGTATTTTAAATCATTCATTCCCTAGAGAATACCTTTTTAAATTGGATTATACTACCACTTTTGCCAATGTAAAAGTAAAACTTAGTATGTTCTGATTTGGAGCCACCAAATGCTGTGACTTAGTGGTCGAAGAAGTGGAGTAACAACCTCGGTAAGCTTGGTTCAAATCACAGTAGAGGCGCTACTAGGTAAATTCTTCTCGTTTGTCCAAGCATTGATGGACAAAATTGAGTTACCCAATATATACCTGTGGTGGAATTAGTCAAGGTGCACACAAGCTTAGCCTAGACACCACTGTTATAAGAAAAGAAAAACAAAGCTCCAAACCGGAAGCACGGGGTCTATAGTGTAGTTTAACCTTATGAAAAGTAGCAAAACTGCTCTTTCTTGAATACATATTTAGTCTCTGTCAAAGAATCTTGTTTGTTCAATGACATTGAGACTATGAGTCTTTTGATGGTTTTGCTCACTGATTGTTTCACTAAATTCTTTGCCTCCTTTTTTTTTGGGTACAGTTTTATAGTAAACCACGTGCCTAACACCGGGAAAGATTTCCTTCAACAGCTTTTCAAGGTAACAGTAGATAGTGATAAAGCTTCTTTCTATATGGCAAGGATTATCCCACATGTCTTCCGCATCCAGTAAAATATGTTTTCAAGGAAATAGCACCATTATAATGTTCCGTTACGTTTAAGGAGAACTACACTCATATAAGCTGAGTTTTGCCTTTTGTCAGTATTGTTCTGTGTGTCTGATAGTTTCTAAAAGTTTTGCAGGAAAAGCGGGAACTTGCTGAGAGGGTGATGATAACGCGTCTTAACCTTTACAGCATATGGATGCAGGTATGCCACCTTGATTTTAGCTACTGCTCAATTTAAATTTTTTCGCTCCTTCAAAAGTAGGGCGTTCGTGAATTATATATCTTTGTTCGAAAGCAGTCTATTGGCAATCACCATGCACTGCTTAGTTGGAATCGCTACTTTATGACAAGCTAATGGTTTAATTTATGGCAAAGGAGTACTAATCCCTATTTTTCTATCGTTCGTTTGTCTATGTTGTGTCGTGGACAAGTGGAGATTTGCTATGTCTGAAAAGTGAAACCCGGTACGTTTTCAACTGCAATGATGCAGGGAAAAGCTAATGAATATTCTATGTTGGATGTAGAAATGTGATCATGCTGAATTATACAACAGAATATCTGATCAGAACGTGGAACTGATGCGTGAACGACTTGCTCAAACTGTTATATGGCTATCTGAAGATGATGAGATTGCTGGAAGTTTGGATTGATTGATGGAAGAAGCCTAGCTCTCTTTGGTGGTTATGCCCTTCCTTTTTCCTTTAGTCTTGATAGGCAAATTAAAACTGTTCTCTGGTGGTTGTCAATGGTTTAAAGTATTAAATTTATCTCTGCAGGCTTGTAACCATATTCTCAACAAAAGGTTGTTGCGGGTTGGCCGAGGAATGGAGGATGTGGAATGCATCTGGTTGACAAATATATCAGGCTACTTGCCTTTATCTGTACATCATCCATGTGTGACCTCAACTTTATTGTTTGATGGGGATGAGATGAAGTATGTACACTGGCACTTTTGAACTAGTTTCCTTTTTAGCCTATATGTATTCTTAATATTGTTAATATTTATTGCAAAATTATGTTATATTAGCAGTTTGCATAGTTCAATAAATGTTGTTTGCATGGTGCATTAGTAAAACCTGCTTAACCAAATTTTAATAGAAATTACTCATGGCCACCGGGGCTACTTCAAGTGCAATCATGAATTCAATTTCCTCTTTATCAATCTAAGGATATTAGACATTTAAGAAATATCAACAAACAATTAGAGCAAAAGCAGTGAATTTCATTGATTGATAAGATTCTACCACAAAGCATAAGAAGAAATAAAAACACTGGATCACGAGCAAAAGAGACAAAAAATCCCATCTGGGTCATTGGTTGGTCTAACTAGGCTAGGAGGCTTAAGGTTGGAAGGACCGGGTTCTTGGTTTTTGGCTTGAAGTAGTTTCAGCATATCCTGAAGAATACCATCATTCTTCTCCTTTGCCAGCTCAGCTCTGAGAGCATCTTTCTCAGTCTCCACTTCTGCCAACCTCTTCTTCAGCCTTTAATTCAACATCCTTAGCCTACTTTCTTGCACCAAAGCTCGCACTTTGCTGTTTACATGTACCTTTTTGGATGAACCAGATTATTTGGGAGTGGTTTGGACTTCAGAGTCACAATCAGTTAGAGTGTTTGCCCCAAAATGATCCTTGCTTGTACCAACTTCTCATTTCTTGATGGGTACCTTGAAATGTGCAAGTACAACCGTGAGAATAAAGCCATAGGGTATGGCGTGAGTTTTGGTGCATTCAGAACCATATCAAGAAGCTGGATGATAAATCCAGGCCAATTGATTTGCCTCCCACTGTCCAAACATTCCATAAGGACCAGGTCCATGAATGTGGCAATGTGCCTCCTTTTCTGCCTAGGCAGCACAACTTTGTTCACAAATTCGAACAACACTTTGTGGGGTGGCTTCATCTCACTTTTGTAAATAGCCTTGGGCTCAAGCTCCTCTTCATTGTCACCAAACTTCCTAGTAATGGCAAGGGCAGTAAGGAGATTCTCTAGACTTGGCCATTTGAGCTTCTTATAATCATTGTACCCTTCAGCAGGTACACCTAAGATCTCTCCCATTTCTTTATCATCAAACCTCACTGTCACCCCCTTGACCACACTTGTGACCCTACCATCTTTGATCTTACAATTTGCCATGAACTCCACAACCTCAGTTCTGGCCAGCTTTCCATCCATCTCAAGGACCATGTCCTTCCAATCTTGCAGTTGTAACTTCTCCAGCAGCAGTAACATCCCTTCCACCTCCAAGTCCCTGAGGAGTCTACCTTTCAAGATGGTTCTCTTCCCAAACTTAACCATCTTGTCCTTCTTCTTCTTCTTCTTCTTCCTCCACTATTTTCACTTTTCTTGATTTCAATGCAGACCTGGTTCTTTTAGCCAAAATAGATGGCTCAGCAGACTTTGTTTTTTAAACACACTTCTTTGTGGAAGTCTTGACTTTATTTGACTTTGGAGTCACAACCTCCATTTCTTCTGTCTCCTCTTTATCTCGAAGGACCAGGTCCATCTCATCAATCTCAACTACCTCAACAGGCTCAACTACCTTCTTCTTTCCCTTAGCAACAACTTTCTTCTTATTTTCTTCTAAAGCCTTTTCAAGTTCAGCCTCACTTTCCTTCTTCTGACTCATTGTAGCTCTTCCTCTTGTAGGAGGAGTCTCTACAGGTATAGACGAAGTGGCCTTTCTTTTCTTGTTTTCCCTAGCAGTACTAGGGACTTTTACTCCTAAACTCCTTTTCCTTTTAGGATTGTAACTATCAAATACCTTTCTTAGTAGGTCTGCGAGGGTTTCCTGCTCAGATGGAACATATTCTTGAGCATCCTTCCCTAATCGAACCAACCCCTCAACAGCTTCTCCAGGTCCCATTCCCCCTGTTTCTCTCACACTCTCTTATTCTCTAGCAGATTCCTCACTCCAAACTACCATAGCACCTGATTCTTTAGTTAAGCCAACATGAGTGGGTGAAAATTCAGCCACTCCTTTTTCCCATTCCCCTCACAACATTCGAGCACCCTCACTCTCATTTTCTTTTCTCTTTTTATTTTTACTACCAATTTTCACAGACTCAGTTGTTTCAACACCAGCCACAGTTCCTACCAGAACAAACCTAGTTTCCAGATTTGTAGCAACCTCAGAGATGATTTCAGGAGTAACTTTAAGGCCAGATGTTACCTGCTCTGTCTCAGAAGAAACAGTTTCTTCCCCTCAGTAGCAGACTTGAACGATTCATCAGATTTCTAGGGTTCTTCTTCCCGACTCGCTTTCAATTGTTCATTTATTTTCTTGATTTGCTGTAATGACCCGACCAGTCGTTTTGAGTCCTAGCGCTCCGTTCAGCAGTCTGAGGCCATGAGCAGCTTCATTTCAAGTATTACGACTTATGTGCGTAGTCGGAATTGAATTTCGGGAAGTCCAGAGTTGATTTGGGAAGAGAAGTCTTATTTCGGAAGCTTAAAGTTGAAAGAATGAACTAGGAATGGAATTTTGAGTAAACGACCTCGGAATCAGGATCTGAAGGTTCCAGCAGGTTCGTATGATGATTTCGGACTTGGGCATATGCCCGATTCGGGTTTCAGATAACCCGGGAGCGTTTTGGCGCCTATTGTGGAAGTTAGCATTTTAGAAGAAATTTCATAAGTTTGGCTTGAAGTACATTTTAGTGTTATCGATGTCCGTTTGGGATTCCGAGACTGTGAATAGCTCTGTATGGTAATTCTGGGGTTGGGGGCGCGATCGGAAGTAAATTCGGAGGTCCGTAGGTCATTTTGGAGCCATTTGGCTAATGATAGAAATTTGAAGGTTTTTGAGAAGTTTGACCGGAGGTGGACTTTTTGATATCGGGGTCGGAATCCAATTCCGAAAGTTGGAGTAGGTCCGTAATGTCAAATATGACTGGTGCGCAAAATTTGAGGTCAATCGGACGTGATTTGATAGGTTTAAACATCGGAAATAGAAGTTTGAAATTTTGAAGTTCATTAAGTTTGGATTGGAGGTCGATTCATGATTTTAGCGTTGTTTGAAGTGATTTGAGGCCTCGAGCAAGTCAGTAGCGTGTTTTGGGATTGGTTGGTAGGTTTGGTTGAGGTCGCGGGGGCCTCGGGTGGATTCCGGATGGTTAACGGATCGAATTTGGAATTTGGAAGAGGGCTAAAGGATCTGGTTGCTGGTATTTTTGCTTCTGCGGTGGGCTAACCGCAGAAGCGGCCCCGCAGAAGCGAAAACGGAGCCGCAGAAGCGGTTTTTGGTCAAAGGTTCGAAGGCCGCAGATGCGGTCAAGGTTCCGCAGAAGCGGGACCGAATCTGCGGAAATCTGGTCGCAGAAGCGGGCGAGGGCATTGTGAGGAGAACCGCAGATGCGGTCATAGTTCCGCAGAAGCGGGACCGCATCTGCGGGAGGCATGTCGCAGAAGCGAGATTGGGGTGTCCCAGGGAGGACCGCATATGCGGTATTTGGACCGCACCTGCGGAACCGCAGAAGCGGTCGTTGGACCGCAGGTGTGAAAAATGCTAGGGCAGAATGATTGTTTTAAAATCGGATTTTCGCCATTCTTCTCTCACTTTTCACTTGGCATGGGCGATTTTGGGGAGCTTCAAGTGGGGATTTTCGTCATCAAGGTTAAGGTAAGATATTCCCACCTATATTGAGTTAAATACATCAATTATGTATGGATTTAGACTTGGAAAAATGTAGAAAAATTAAGGTTTTGGTGGAAAACCTAGAAATTTCATTCTTGGAATTTAACCATGATATTGAGTATGGAATTTAGTGAAAATTATACATTTGAGTTCCTAAGGTTATGGGTAACCTTTATCTTCGAAAAATTTCGGATTCCGGGCACGTGGTCCCGAGGGCGTTTTGGTCAACTTTTCGATCGGAGTTAGGAATTGCTATAAATTAGATTGTAATCAATATTTGAGCATATATTAATGGATTTGCGTAACCGTTGGCTAGTTTTGGAGCGTGGTGCATCAAGTGGAGTCTTCGGAAGGGCGTGGAATGCCGGTTATAGATCTTCGGGGCGAGGTGAGTCTCCTTTCTAACCTTGTAAGAGGGAATTGTCCCCATAGGTGAATTAATTGGATATTTTCTCCTATTTGTGGGGGCTACGTACGCACGAGATGACGAGAGTCCGTGCATAGCAACTATTATGCTATTTTGTCTGGGTAGTCTAGGACCCAAAAGCATGCTATACGTGGATTAATTGTAAACTTATTGACGACTTGAATTGCTTAAATCACCTTGGATTAGTAAATGAATTTAAAAAGGGATTAAACGTTACTTTCTCGAATTGTTAAAAAAGGATTTGTTTAATTTGGATAATGTCCCCTGATAATTCTTGATTGATTGTTTGAGCATGTTCCTCTATGTGTACCTGCGTCGCATGCATCATTCGCGAGCAGGGTGTGTGTTTATTTTATGTTGACCGCGCCGCAGGTTAGTTCGCGAGCGGGGTAGTAGATGCATCTATAGGCGCGCCGTCGACCCTCGGCAAGTGCACAGTTTATTTCTGTTGGATCGGGCCGTCTCCTCGGTGTGATATATATATATATATATATATATATATATATATATATATATATATATATATATATATATATATATATATATTGTTGCACCAGAATTTTTAAATATTGATATTGCCTTTCACGGCTTGATATAAATTGATAGGATAAAGAAAAGTAAACCTTGAAAATCCTTTATTATTTGTTGAAGGTGTATTGCCTGTTTTCCGGCTTTGTGAGTTAGAACTACTATATAAAATCTCTAATTTCCTCACACATTTAGTATATTATTGTTGGACCACTAGTAAGTGTCAAAGGTTACCATCTCGTCTCTACTTCTTTGAGATTAGACGGGATACTTGCTGAGTACACGTTGATTACGTACTCATACTACACTTCTGTGCATTTTTGTTGCACAGGTATAAGTAACTCTAGTGGCCTACTGGGCGTAGCAGCGCGGATGATTCTGGGACTAGGTCGGCTGCATTATTCGAGGCGACCCGCAGCTAGTGTTGTTTCTTTCAGCATATTGTAT